GTGGATAAGGGAGAAATGTAAATGGCATGGTCTAAGGGGGAGGAAAGGGCCTTGATCCCCTTCATGGGCTGCAGCTTTGAGGACTGTTTAAAAGGACAAACTGCGCATGGGCCAGTGCTGGAAGCAATGAAAATATTTCTAGTCTGTCAGTTCTTATCTGAGTTCTGGCGTCCTTCCCAGTGTGTGCATTTCAATATCTGTGGACATTTTCAAGCCCTTCTCCTGCCTTGTCTCATTAATTCTTCAGTGTGGTTTGTGTTGTTTTTTCTATTTATAATTTATATGTATTTTGAGTTTGAATGGAAGCTCTCCCTTTTTGCAACTGTTTGTGGGGGAATTTTTTCTCCAGTCAATGATAAATTGGACCTTTAAAGCCAAGTTGAAGGAATTAAAGGGACTTCATCTGTTTTTGTGACTTTGTTGCTTTTGTATCCCACCCTGGGTCATCATACTGCCCAGACTCTTCTTAAAAATCCTCCAGTGATAGAGTGCCTATGACTGCTACTTCCACTGGTTAATTGTCCTCACTGTTAGGAAGTGTCTCCTTAATTCCAGGTTGTTTCTTTCCTTGATTAGTTTCCATCCATTATTTCTTGTCCCGCCCTCTGGTGCTTTGGAGAATAATTTGACCCCATCTTCTTTGTGGCAGCCCCTCAAATACTGGAATACTGCTGTCAGGACAACCCTAATTCTTCTTTTCCTTTGTGACTAATCACTATAGTTATAATTACACAGAGGTGGGAGGGATTGATTGCTTTTTAATATATTATTGTGTAATATTTTTCTTTCCTTGAGCTTTTGTGTAAGGAAAATTGTTTGCTTTTGTTTGCTGGTCTCCACTGTAGTTGGTTAATGAGGACTACCCATACTTCCAAAAAACCACTTTTGAGTGGGAATTTGGGACCCCCGTATTTTTTTACACAGCCTACCAGTCTCTATAAATACAGCTCATATTGATCACAGCATTAATTACAATCTTTGGTTGTCTGTACTGAAAATAATGCTTGCCAGCTAAAGAAAATAACTATTGGCTATCTTGGAACATGACAGAAGCATTGGTCCATTCTGAAAATAACAAAAATATATATATATATCTATTTTTCCTTTCTTTTTTCAACTCACTCTGTGGCAGGCTGTGGAGTTAATCTTGGTCTGAAAGGTTTGGAGTCAATGGAAGAATTGATTTATAAGGTGGCCACCGCTGTGGATCAGCAGGATATTTTTAAGGCCCTGGCAGCTAAAATCCAGCATTCCAGACAAGTGGTTGAAGATTTTAAGCAGAATGGATTATCTGCTACCATGTTTGAATGATCAGATCGGAGGACAGCTGAGATGCAGAGATTGATGGCCATTTTGCCTTTTTCTGCACATCAAGAAAGAGGAGAGGCTTTCCGTTGGATTTTAGGAAGAAGAAGAAGAAAAATACAAGCAGAATCAACACACTTAATTGTAATTAAGATTTTCATCAGATCAGACACACAAATTCAAATTTAATTTAGAAAAATTACAGGGCTTTGGGTATGCACCTCCCTGGATTTTATTCCCCAAACCACAGGTCTGTGTTATGTTTTGGATAAGTAATACAGACACTCTTTTATCAAGGGTGAATTTTAACTCAAGTCTTTTGTTACTTAATATTTCATACTTTTGATCTGGGGGAGAACTCTTTATCATTTTACCCTAATAACATCCATCATTACAGAATTGGATGTCCCAAGCAAATAATTCCATTCCATTAGGTGCTGCTTTGATACCATTCTGTAGGAGTAAGTCACTGATGCAAAAATATGCATCTCTGTATGTTTCCCTAAGTGCCTGCCCAGCTCCTAATTTCCTCTGGTTTTGATTTTTAAAATCCTTTTGATGAAATGAAAAAAATAAATAAATAAGGAGGGAGTTGCTATTTCCTTATTTTTATCCTCAGTAATGCCTTAGACAAAGAAAGGTGAAAACTATGCCGAAATGAAAAACATATTGTTAATTAAAAAAAAAAAAATGAGTAGGACTCCCTTAAATGATGGCACTGGTCAGCAATAGAAGTTCTTGTCCCAATTGTGCTTGTAAAAGTGAAGAACAACCTGTAGCCACTTTGAATCCACCTTCAATACACGAAAACAAAATGGTTTTATTTCTGTGCTTGCATTGAACTATTCTACTTTGTAAATAAATATATAACCTTGGGAATCTAGGACTATTCTACTACATTTGTTTGTAGGCCGCACCACCTGGTGGCATCCTCTGTTATTACATTTCTTCTGCTATATTTTCATCCCTGCTGCTATGTGTCAGTGTAAAACAAAACGTTATCGGTAAAATTGGAGGAATTTAAGGCGAAATAAATAAATAAATTATTGTTTACAGCTTGTCTTTCCTCTTGTTGCTCAAACCTACACACACACACACACACAGAGTTTCTCCCCATCTTAAACCCTTAACTGCAGCCTGTGAGATGGATTGGGACTAGATTAAAATAGACTAGACGAGTTGGAAGGGACCTTGGAGGTCTACTAGTCCAGCCCCCTGCTTCAGGCAGGAAACCCTATTCCGTTTCAGACAAATTATACCATTTCAGATAAATAAAGAAAGTGTCTGGCACCTATCTCTTCCAAAGAATTAACCAGTACACTACATTTAGAATATTAATAACTATTAATAACTAATTAATACTATTAATAACTACTAACTTCTAGTAAACTATGCCTCAGAGGGATGAAGAAAATGCTCTCAGACTTGCAAAAACTCTTTATTATAACTGTCACCCCATAATAAAGGTAAAATGGTGGGTGCTTCTTGCCTGCACTATATCCAAGGGGCTGATTGAGGGACAACTCAACCCATTTGGAATAAGAGTCCACTACAATTAAGGGCCCACCAAATCTATGTGGACTTGTGACCATGGGGATTTAGCTGATTCCCATTCTCTTGGATTGGCAGCTGGTGGGGCAGGCCTCGATAGTTGACATGCCTGGCATGTCCTTACCCTAGTAGTTATGTCTGCATCTATGCCTGGCCACCAGACATAACTCTTTGCCAGTGCCTTCATTCTGGCAATAACCTGATGTCCTTCATGTAAACTATCAATTATCCCAGGCCTCAACCTGCTAGGGACAATGACACGGCAACCCCATAATAAACACCCCTGCTGGGTGGACATCTCAGGCTGCCTGGCTCTAAAAGGTAAGAATTTGGTGTCTAATTTTCCCTTAGGCCAACTCCTTCTCACCCAGTCTAAAACCTGTAATATTACTTGGTCTCTCATCGAACATTGAGCAATATCTGCTGCAGTCAGAGGTAATCGTTGATCATCCAAAGAGAACACAGTTAATAATGGTGCGGGGTCAATTACACGGGTTGGTAAAGGACAACAGCTTAAAGCGTTCACATGACTAAGGTGTTTCCCAGCTCTGTGTAATAATGTATATGAGTAGGTAGCAAGGAGTATTGTCCACCTAGTCTTCTTGGAGACAACACTGTAGGACTTGGACGATCTCCAGATAAAATGCGTAATAAAAGTTTGTGATCGGTCACAAGTTGAAAATGGTGCCCATAGAGGAACTCGTGAAATTTTTTTGACGGAGGCGACTGCTGCTAAGGCTTCCTTATCGATCTGTGCATAATTCCTCTCAGTATTTGATAAGGTCCTGGAGAAATATGCTATCGGCACTTCCAGGCCATTTGGCAATTTGTGTGCCAACACAGTGCCTATCCCAAAAGGGGATGCATCGCAGCAAAGTATCAAAGGTAAACCCCTGTCAAATTGTATTAGCACACCGTCAGAGGACAACAGAGCTTTGGCAGCATTGAAAGAGAATTCTTCTTTGGGCCCCCATGGCCAGGAAGCCTTTGCATCCAATAATCTATGTAATGGTTCCGCCACAGAAGCCTTATGTGGAAGAAAAGAGCTATAGAAATTCAGGAGCCTCAAAAACGCTTGCAGTTCGGTCTTATTGGATGGTGCAGGGGCATCCTTAATAGCGCTTACCTTGGACTCAATGGGATGAATACCTTTGGTATCTATGTGGTATCCCAGAAAACCTACTTGGCCGACTGCAAATTTGCATTTGTTTTCCTTCAATTTAAGGCCTGCTGTTTTGAAACAGGCTAGGCCCCTTCTGAGACGTTTGAAAAGTTATTTGTTGCAAGCAGAAATGTGCATGTTATCAAAGTAGGGTACCACCCCCGGGATGCCTTGAAGCAGTCTCTCTATCAGGCTTCATGGCCATTAAATTCTTTCTAAGAATGAGCTGAGGCAGGCATTGATGAATGAAACAATGTTTATTGTAAACAAAAACAATATTTATTGTAACAAACTAACAGGTTACCAGAGTCTGCCAAATTGGCCAGCTGACGGCTAACAGCTGATGCCATCTGACAGGTCCCTTTTATAGTTTGTGGTCAGGCTGCTCAGCCAATCGGAACAAACAAAGCTCCCGCTAAAATGCGGACCAACAAATAGAACTTCTGTAGAACACAATAATATGGACTGTTTCCTAAGTATGATTTGATTGCTTATTGTACCCTATGACTATCATTAACCTTATGATTCTCGACTCCTGACGAATGTATCTTTGCTTTTATGTCTACTGAGAGTATTTACACCAAGACAAAGTCCTTGTGTGTCCAATCACACTTGGCTAATAAAGTATTCTTTCTCTATTCTCTAAAACCTCTAACGTACATAACTCAGTGAAAATTGCTTTTCATTTTTAAGAGACTGCAGATTTTCAAGCAGGGATGTGAAAAAGCATTAAGAAAGCATTAACTGTGTTTACAAGATGAAATCATCACCTGCAGGACGAGAGCCGCGCGCGCGGCAGCCGCAGCAACAACAACAACAACAACAACAACAACAACACTATCAGCAGCGAGGCTTCCCTGTCAGCTGGTTTGATTTTCCCCCACGTGCGTTTGGCAAGCCGGAGACTCCATTTCCCAGCGAGCCCCGCGGCCTCCCGGTCCAGGGATTGGAGGGGGCCCGGCGGAAAGGGGCGTCTCTTCCGGGCGGTGGGAAGGGGCTGCGCCTGTCCGGTGAGCGAGGCGGGAGCGCAGGTGGCTTTTCAAGGGAGCGCAGCGCAGAGGAGGGCATGGCGGCGCTGAAGTTTGCCGGGCTGGACGACACGGACAGCGAGGAGGAGCTGCCGCCAGGCTGGGAGGAGCGCACCACCAAGGACGGCTGGGTCTACTACGCCAAGTGAGCCCCCTCAGCATCCTTTGGGGGAGGGGGGGAGCTGGAGAGGGTGGGATGGAGGGGCGCAGAGGGGGAGGAGGAGGAGGAGGAAGAGGGGAAGAGCTGGGAAAAAAGGAGGCTATTGCATCGCTCTAGGGGTGCAGGAATCCAAAGAGGGGATCCACCAAGCCCACCCGTCTTTTTTGTGTGTGGGTGTAGGGGGGGAGTTTGCAGGTAGGCTAAGGGAGGAGTAGAAGACGCCGGGGGCTGCAGAGGGGGCTCCCAATGGGAGGAAGAGGAGGAGGAAGATGGGAGCTGGGATAAAGGGTTTTTTACTTCGCTCTTGGGGTTCAGGAAGCCAAAGAGGGGATGTACGAAGCCCACCCTCCTTTTGGGGGGAGGGGGGTAAGGGAGGGGACGCAGGAGATGCTGCTTTGACGCTTCCTCAGAGCCAGAGTTGCAAAGTGGCAGGTTGACAAGCCCATTTGCCAGCTGTTTGCTGTGGGTGGAGTTTGTGGGAGGTGGGGCTGTGGGTGGAGTTTGTGGGAGGTGGGGCTGTGGGTGGAGTTTGTGGGAGGTGGGGCTGTGGAACTTACTTTTATCCTGACTTTATTATTATTGTTGTTTTTTGTATGTTGATGATTTGTATTGACTGTTTCCTAGTGTGATTTGATTGCCTGTTTGCACCCTATTAAGTGTTGTATCTTATGATTCTTGATGAATATACTTAATCTTTTCTTTTTATGTACACTGAGATCATATGCACCAAAGACAAATTCCTTGTGTGTCTAATCACACTTGGCCAATAAAAAATTGATTTGCAGGGACTTGTCCAGACATTGCTATTAGTCTAAAACTGACTAGAAGGTACATACTATATACACACAGAGACAAATCCTGGTGGATCTTCATTGTGATTTTTTTTTTAAAGTTATGTTTTCCAATTCTTTCAGTCATTTGGAGGAGAGAACTCAATGGGATCATCCAAAATCTGGGAAACGAAAAAGAGTCGCTGGAGGTTTGTATTCAGACTTTGCTTGTTAAATTGATTTTATTTTTTAATCTTTCTGAACCACCCATCTCCTACAGAAAGGGATTCCACAAAGGGAGAAAACAAAAACCTTCAGGGAAAAGTTGCTAGTAATTCTTATTTAACCAAGAACAAGTTATTTGATTTATTTTAATATTGTGTTGCTACATAAGCACCTCAGAGTTGGTCTTTATGCATTTTAGCTTTAAATATCTACAATCCAGAATTACAGCGGAGTAAAATTAGTTGTCAGGACTTCAGCAGTTACCCCATTAAATCTTGAGTCTCAAGCCAAACTTCCAAAACTTCAAAAGGATTTATTGGGAGTTAACATGTCCTGGGTGTAGCTGACTCTGAGACACACAATTCATTGTCACCCTTGACCCTGATTTTCCCCCACCCCCTGGGTGTATCATAATACATATTCTCCAATGAGACACAGTGTTCTCCAATTAGGTATCTGTGCGGCAGAAACTTCAGTTGCCTAGTTAGTATCTTTGAAAAACTATGGAATGCACTTTTGATTTCCAAGCTGCCGCACTGCTCTTTCAAATCACTTTCCCCCTCCCTTTCTGTTGGCAACTCTAAAAAGACCATAGAAATATTTGATGAGTTGACATTAGTATTGATTTTGGATCTTCCAGTGTCGTTGCCTTTAAAAGAACTGAGTCTTGAGATACAGACATGCAGAAGACTAGTATGATTTTAGATATTGGGGCTGGCATCTAACATGTTAGCATTAGCAGTACTTTTCTCCCCAGGATCTTTAAAAAAAAAAACTAAAAAGCCAATCTCCACTAAAGAAACACTGCCAGAATACATACATACATACATACATATATACATACATACATACATACATACATATTATTTTGAAAATTTATATAGCCACCTACTCGCTCACGGTTACAGAGTAACCATGAGCGAGTAGGTGTCTATATAAATTTTCCAATATATAAATAAATAAATCCAATAAAACAAAATATTATACTTGCCTGTATGAGTTGATCTGGAATAAGTCCCTTGGTGTAGATTGTGAATTTATTCTGAACGGAAGGAGGATAAATGGGGTTGGCAGAAATCCTCTAAACAAATCCACCAGCAATATTTCCGTAGATTACGTTCAAATATCCCTCCTTCCCTCTCTGCTCATAATAATTATATCTGAGACCCCATGGAAGAAGACAATCCTTGCTCATGCTGGCTGAAGGAAGAGACCTCCAACCAGCATTGGCCTGATCTGGTAGACTATCCAAGTAGAAGCTTCTTAGAATCCAGAATTTCCAAGAGGTTTTTATTTTGTTTTATTGTTTTTATTTATTTGATTTGTCAAATGCTTACAATATAATAGAAATAAGATTAAACATAAGTATAAACACATGAAATAGGTACAAATAATTGGGGACAATAGGACAGGGACGGTAGGCATGATTGTGCGCTTATGCACACCCCTTACAGACCTCTTAGGAATGAGGTGAGGTCAATAGTGGATAGTTTAAGATTAAAGGAGTGGGGGTTTGAGCATGAGACAACAGAGTCAGGTAGTGAGTTCCAGACATGGACCACTCTGTTGCTGAAATGGTACTTCCTGCAATCAAGTTTGGAGTGGTTTTCGTTAAATTTATATCTGTTCTGTGCTCTTGTGCTGTTGTTGTTAAAGCTGAAATATTCATTAACTGGTAAGACGTTGTAACATATGATTTTATGTACTATGCTTAAGTCCAATCTTAGCCAGCGTAGTTCAAGGTTGTCTAAGCCTAGAATCTCAAGTCTGGTGGTGTAAGGTATTCTGTTGCGAACAGAGGAGTGTAGCACTCTTCTTGTAAAATACTTTTGGATTAGCTCAGGTTGGAGAACCTGAAGCTAAAAGATGTTGCTTTTCTATGACACCACCCCTCATCCTACAACGACTAAAGAAACATGCTCCTCTTGCGTGATTTGATGTATTCAGGCACTGCAGATTACTCACTTTTGACTTAGAAACCTTGTGCAGGTGGCTTGTTTTGTGTGTACTCAGAACAAAATACCAGTTACATGGTTACAAGCAGGAAGAGTGGAAACATCGTTAGCGAGTGGAAACATTTCTTGTTTTTGTTGGTTCTCCAATACCCTGTGTAAATGTATGTGCTTTTTTACCCTATTCTATTCCAAACAACAAAGACATTTAGGTCTATTCCTCGAACTGATACAAGATTTAAACTGAAGCATCTTTTGTTTCTCCTTCTAGACTTACCGTATGGATGGGAACAGGAGACAGATGAAAATGGACAAGTCTATTTTGTGGAGTAAGTTGGAATTTTTTTGTATGCTTTTGAGGGATGAAGAGTCTGGGTAAGGCCTTAGACTAGGACAGGAGCCTCCAAGCTTGGCAACTTTAAGGCTTGTGGACTCCAACTCCCAGAATTCCTCAGCTAGACAAATCTTAAAGTTGGCAAATTTGGAGAACCCTGGACTAGGATGAGGGAAGACCTAAATTATCTTGTTGTGGAATGTATTGGAGACAATTGAGCCTGTGCTTCTCCCTCAGACCTACCTTGTTCATTGGATGGTTGTAGAGGAAATGGGAGAAAACTACATTCTCTCAGGCAGGGTACACATACATCCATTAATTCACGTGTTGACTGTGATTATGTTTTGTGTTTAATTGAGTTTTTAGTAGTGGTTTTTTAGTGGGATTGGATCTTTGCTCCTTTATATTGTCTTGTTCTTTCTGCTTTTCATTGTCACGAGCTGTCAGAATTGTATGTATATGAAATGGACAGTATACAAATTGAATAAATAAGCAGGTTTATTGCTTGCTGTAGTCACAGGAAGTGATAGTGCAGGGTCTGCATAAAAATAAGGATGTTTGAGAAAACGACAGTCCTGGATTTAAATAGTTTGCCCTGCATATAGAAAAAGCAGGATGAAAGAGCACATGTGTGTGTGTTTTTCTCCTATGCACTTGGAGGTATGACAGTTATAAGAGACTGTAGTCTAGAGAGCTGGTAAGATTGCCTGCAATGTTGATTTTTTCCCTCTACAAATCAAGTTTAAGCTTGGCAAGTTTAAGACTTGTGGACTTCAACTCCTAGAATTCCTGAGCTAACCTGACTGGAAGAGGAATACTGGGAGCTGAAGTCCACAAGTCTTAAAGCTTTGAAGACCCCTGCTATAAATGAACTTTGATTTAACTTTTGTATGTATTTCTTTCGGCATTGATTGGTTTTATTGCAATGCAATGGGTTTATTCAATATTAAAAATCTGTCATGAAGTGCTACAGGCTCCCCGGAGAAAGAGCGATGTAGTAGCAAACACATTTGTTTTTTTTAAAAAAACTTATAACTTTCATTATAAGTCATACATTTAGAGAGTTCAGGACTAAGTTATAGAGTAGATACTTTTGCAGAAATTTTTATGTCTGTTGTTGTCATTCGGCAAGCCATGGGAAGGCCTTGGTCCAATTACTAAGACAGCCGTTACCAGAGTAAACCTTGATAGTTTGATAAAGTAACTGAGTATAAAGTTATTCAAATATGCCATTAAATTTTTCTTGCTTTGCAAAACACAGAGGTTGCATGGCTAGAAATTTGATTTAGCTTTCAGTTGATTAAAGGTAAAGGTTCCCCTCACACATGTGTGCTAGTCATTTCCGGCTCTAGGGCTTAGTATTCATCTCTGTTACAAAGCCAAAGAGCCAGCACCGTCCGAAGACGTCTCTGTGGTCATGTGGCCGGCATGACTAAACTCTGAAGGTGCACGGAACGCTGGTACCTTCCCACCAAAGGGGTCCCTATTTTTCTACTTGCATTTTTACATGCTTTCGAACTGCTAGGTTGGCAGGAGCTGGGACAAGTAACGGGAGCTCACTCCGTTACACAATGCTAGGGATTCGAACTGCCGAACTGCCAACCTTCCTGATCAACAAGCTCAGCATCTTAGCCAATGAGCCACTGCGTCCCTGTTCAATTGATCAGGTGATACTTATTCATAATCATAGATTTAAGAACTAGTTACAACTCACTTGGGGTGAATTAATCAGTAGGGAAATAGAAGATTTTAGGTTTAGTACCCATCCGCTAGGAGCAATAGAGGAAACCCTCAAGAGAAGTTATTTCTTTTTTTTATGTTTTAAATTGCCCCAAGTTATATACTGCTTTTTAAAAATTCATACTTCATGTTTCCAGAAGTTACTCTTAAAACCTATTACTGCCTTAAAGTGTTTTTTTTACTGAAAATAACTGTTTTCCCCCAATAAAAAAAACCCTTCCAAATAATTTTGTATTGTGATAGTGCAGAGAATGAGATAACCATAAGGAAGGAACATAGTGGCTGTTAATGGAGGAGAAATAATTTATCATGAGAAAGAGAAAGTTTGAAGAAAAAAACCCTCAAAATATTGCATTGATTCTCTCTTTGACATAAGAAAGAATAAAGAAAAATTAGCAAGCGTTAACAGGTTATGTTACTCTACCCTACAACAATCAAATAGCATTCCTATAATTATTGTGTTACCAGTTTCATGACTGGGCCTACCTTGAAAACTGACAGCACAACAATCTCTAAGATTAGAGTAACATTTTAAATGTAAATGTAGGATTGCCTAAGCTTTAAACAAGCTGCTTTCATTTATTAGGGTTTCTTCAGGAGCTCAGCATTGTTCTTGCAGTCCTAAAGGTGCTTTTTCAAGAGGCAACTAGACTTTCTGGTTTTTTTTTTCTTTGAAGACGTTTTGCTTCTCATTCAAGAAGCTTCTTCAGTTCTGAGAGCTGGAGAAGCTTCGTGAATGACAAGCAAAATGTCTTCAAAGAAAAACCAGGAAGTCCAGTTGCCTCTTGAAAAAAAAAAAAAGCACCTTTGGGATAATCATAACCTGGATGACAGAATCTCCACAGACCCAGTTCTTGCGGATTTTCTCCTTTTCTCCTTGCACCATTCTTTGAGGATGGCTAATGGTGGCTCGGTTTCTACATTGCACATTGCCGCATGGTCTGTTTTAACCTTGGCTTGCATGACTGACCTGACAGGCTTTGGGCATGATTGGGTGTACAGGTAGTCCCCAATTTACGAACACAGTTGAGCCCCAAATTTATGTTGCTAAGTGAGAAATTGGTAAAAGTGAGCTTTGCCCCATTTTACAACTTTTCTCGCCACCTTTGTTATTCCCCATTGATGTGACCCCGAGACACCATCATAAATGTGAGTCAGTTGTCCAGCATCTGAATGTAAATCATAGGGGATGCTGCCATGGTTATAAGTGTGAAAAACATTCATAAGTCACTTTTTCCAGTGCCGTTGTAATTTTGAACATCACTACACGAATGGTGTAAGCTGAAGACTACTTGTATTCACACACTAAGCCTTCAATTATGGAAAACTGAGCTAACACATTATACTAAACCAAAATTATGCTGTGGTTTAGTGCAGTGGTGGCTAACCTTTTGGGGCTCCTGTGCCGATAATTGTGTGCGTGCTTGCATGCCAGCACCCAGAAGGCAATGCGCTCGAGTCCCCTCCATGCCCCCTGCACGGGCATGTGTTACCTCCCTGCATGCACTGTGTGTCTGTGCATGCATGCACAACCCCTGTGCACCGCATACCTCTGTGCATGTGTGAGCAATCCCCCTGTATGTGCCGCGCATCTCTGTGCATGCGTGCGCATCACCCCTGCACCCCCCCGTGCATGCACACCAGATACCCAACAATCAGCTGCTCTGGGTGAGGGCTCGCATGCCAGCAGTAATGGCTCTGCGTGCAGGGGTGCGATTCTATCTGTTCATACCTATTCATTAGAACTGGTTGTTAACATTCTAAGCAGTTGGAGAACCGGTTGTTAGAAGAAATTGCTGGCCTACTCCTGTAAGGAAGGCAGGGAGGAAACATTCTGGTGTTGCTTACAGAAACTGCCTCTCCGTTAACCCTTATTACATTCTTGGCAGGACTAGACTTCCTGTCTCAGGAACACCTCTGGAGTTTTTTTCCCTTCTTTTGCTGGTACTTTACTTGTGTGGAGTGACTATTCAAAGTTACAATGGCACTGAAAAAAATGACTTATGACCATTTTTCACACTTACAACTGTTGCAACATCCCCACAGTCATGAGCGGCTAGGAGAGGAGATGCGTGCCTCGATGTGAGTGATATTGAGTTGGCCACACCCAGCCAGTCACATGACCACCAAGCCATGCCCACAGAACCGGTTGTTAAACAATTTGAATCCCACCCCTCTCTGCGTGCCACTTCCGGCATGCATCCCATCACGGGATTAGTGTAATCATGAGATGACCCACAATTGACCAAAACAAGCTTCAGAAGTGAATGGGGATTTAGATCTAAGTCTGTCACAGAAGTCACCCAGTGCTTTTTAAACAAACTTTATTGCTTTGACTAGGTTTGCTCTGATTTCATAGCAAAGAGGGAGAGAAGGGAAGCTAAAAACAGCTTGTTGGAATAAGACTTAAGGCCCATATGGTCAATTTAGAATGAAAATAAGTCAGCAGAGAGGGAAGTATAAGTAACAATAGTAGGTGTTAAATATTAGGAAGACATTCCACTCACCATACAACAGGTTGTGTTTATTATTAAAAAAAAACCCATATAATACTAACAGTGTAAATATTATAATTTAAATGGCAACATAAGAATGTCAACTACTTTTCCCCCCAAAGAAATGTTAACTGTGATCTTTTTGAACTGTAACAGAACGACAAGAAACAAATCCTCTTAAAAGTATTTGCGTTTACTTTCTATTAAAAGTAACGACAAAGAAAAGATATGTAACACTGTTTGGCAGTGTCTGTTGTTGATTAAATCCGGTGCTGATGCATTCTGTTAAGTGCAGTCCTTTTTTTTTCCTTTTCCTTTTTTGCATATTTCTGTGTGCCTTCATAACAGACATTGGGTTTGCCGGTGTATGCTGAAATTATTAATTACTTTCTTCTGCCTTGCTGTGAAGAAGGATTAAGAAGTTGCATTCCAAGGCAAAACAATACATTCATGAAATCCAGGACAAGTCTTTAAAAATATTAAAAGTGATGAAGTGCTGATTTCAAAGACTAAGCAAAAAATAAATGTGTCCTGGTGCTTTTTTTAGAAAAAGAATCTGGAAGGGTGACTGTGAAGCATTCTTTTAAAGGAGGTCATCCTACAGCTTAGAAGTGTCACAAAAAAAGTTCTTTTTTCCTTAGGTTTATGAGAATGGGCCTTTGAAAGTAGAGAGATTCTGAAACGGACAGCCAGATTTTCCCATTTTCCTATTGGACGTAACCAGGCCAAAAACTTAAATAATCTACCGTATATTATACTAATAGAAGAGAATATTTGTAGCTCGGGATTGAATTGTGGGGGTTCTTGGCACTCTGAACTTGGCTTTTTTCTTGCAAATGTTTCATTACCCAATTAGGTAACATCGGTGCCCTGATGATATTACCTACTTGGGTAATGAAATGTCTGTGAGAAAACATCCAGGCTCAGAGAGCATCAAGGACCCCACAATATATTTTATGTTTTAGGCTCCCTGAGGCTGCCAAACTCAGAGAGCACCAAAGACCCTCATTTCAACCCTGAGCATCAAACATTCTCCTTTATTCATTTAGACTATTCTTTTCACATATTTTTAAAAGGAATTTACTCATATACTCTATAAATAGTGGCATAGTATTTGGAATGCAGTGGTAAGAATACAGTATTGCAGGCTAACTATGCCCGCTGCCAAGAGTTTGATCCTGATGGGACTCAGGGTTGACTCAGCCTTCCATCCTTCCGAGGTTGGTAAAATGAGGACCAGATTGTTTGGGGCAAAATGGTGTAAACCACTTAGAGAGGGCTGTAAAGCACTGTGAAGCGGTACATGAATCTAAAGTGCTATTGCTATATGATCTAACTCTACACCCTGAGAAAGCCACACCTGAGTTTTATCCAAATGAGAACTGTTTGTGTTGCAATGTGAAAGCTGACTTGTTAAACAGCTTTAAGAAATGAGGCAGTCCTGTTGGAAATTTAGAAACATTTTCACACACTCTGAAAGGTGTCTCCACATAGGAGCTGTGTAGCATAAGGAAGACTTGTGTTCATGTAAGTAGTTACTCTGTTGCTTTGATTTAACTAAGGATGGATATCCTAAAGTGACAACTGGGTTTTTAGATCATGCAAAGAGATGTGTGATAAGAGGTTTCCTATGAAGTTTCTTTTTTTAGTTTCGCCTTTCAGGAACTAATCGTATTTTTAATCATTTTTGTTTACTCATACTGTATTTATACCAAGACCTCTTCTGAAAAATTGCAAGATGGCTGTTCTTGACATAATTCTTATACTGTAGATAGCTGATCTTTTTCTGACAGTTTGAACAATTAATCAGTGGGATGGCTTGCCTCTAGAAGTTATAGGTGCTGCAACACTTTTAAAGAAGAGATTGAAGAGCCATTTGTCTGAAATGGTATAAGGTTTTCTGATAGAGCAGGTGTTTGAACTAGAAGATCTCTGATGTTCCTTCCAATTCTGTTATTCTATCTTTATGAAGCAGAGTCAGTAAGAATCAAAGACTCTCACCATTTAATTTTGCATTACTTTTCAGAACTATGAAACTTCACTTTACTTTATTGATTAGCCCTTGGGCCATATCAGTGCAGAGTTCCAGACACAAATAATTACTAAAATCTGGTAAAACCAATTTAAAGTGGAATTGGATAAAATACAGTTTAAAATGAAATTGGAATAAAATACAGTAACTTAATAGATAGATAAATAAAATATGATAAAATTATATTTCAATATCACTCCTACAATCTATCTCAATCAGTGCCACATATGTCGATCTCAACTGAACCATTTTGCATAAGTACTGTCCTGTCCTGTTATTTTCAGATTCTGACCGCACATAAGGTAAGTTGTTTTGATAAAGGGGATCCCAATGGGTCATTTATTTGGTGTATAGATTGAGGCACCTGTCTTTCACCCTCTTATACAGGCAACAGTCAAATAGGATGTGAGCCAGGTCTTCTACCTCTGCCCCTCCACAAATGCAGAGATGTCCATTGTAGGGTATAGAATGGTATGAAACTTTAAAAAACCTGATTGAGCTGGTATCTTCAATATGATAGAAATGGCTTTCTTGATTGCTTCAAGGTTGAGTTTACGTGTTGATGTATGGCCATGGAGCTTTTGTGCGTGGTAATAAAATGAGGTATTGACATGGAAAAATGCTTCTTGTTTTCCTTCAAAGCCATATAAACAAGAGGACCACATACCTTGATCCCAGAATGGCATTCACCGTGGAAGATAATCCCATGAAAACCAACATGAAGCAGAAATATGATGGCAACACCACAGCAATGGAAGTATTAGAAGGCCGAGATCTGAGTGGCAAGGTGATCATAATCACAGGAGCAAATGCAGGAATAGGTAGGTCACTGCTGCAGCTAACCCTTCATTCAACCAGCATTGAGTATGGAACCTTCCTTCTTTCTTCCCTCCCTCCTTCCCTTATTCAGTGTATGCATGTTGGATCCAAATCTGAACATTTTTTCAGTTGAAGTATAGGTGTGCTTGCTGTATCTGTCTATAGCATGTTAAAAGTTCTTGCCTTGGTTACACATCCACTTGCGAGGCTAAGGTTTATTTCAGGAGCCGTTGATAGCTACTGTAAATGTAGCCATAATTGCATTTAAGCCACATTTCATAGCCATCTGGATACTGCCCTCTTCCGGCTGATAATCTAAACTTTATTCAATAAAATAATCTCATTAGTTTCAACTTTAGATGCCAGGATAACTTATCTGCATGGGAACTTCCTTTCTTAATTACTAGCTTTTAAAACCACTGGAATGTTTTTTTTTATTTTATTGGGGAAAGAAGTGCAGAAGTAAGGTTGTCTTGTGATAGTGGCAAATATCTATATCTTGGATGTAGGATGAAGGTGGCAAGTTTGTCCTCTGAGCAAACATGGAGAACAAACCTCCACCCTCAGTAAAGTTGTCTACTAAAAGAAGAAATGAGGGAATCTTGTTCTTGCTTGGTGTTTAAATAAGGAACATTGTAGATTATTTAAACTCTCTAACCTAGTGCCATTTCAATATGTCAGCCCTCAGTGTTTCCACCCCACGGGAGGTATTATGGTTCTTAGCATGCTTTTCAGATGTAGTAAAGTTTGGTTTGGAGTTCAAGAAAGCTTTTGCTTTCTGGATATCCCTTCCTTAGTACTTAATCTCCCATAATTACCAATTACTCATAGTGTGATTAAAGAAAAATGGTTGTATGAATGTTGAAAGGCTTCAGGAGCATTTCTTTGTTTTGTTTTGTTTTGAAGTAGTTTTGTTTCTCATCCAAGAAGCTTCTTCAATTCAAGAGAGAACTGAGAACTGAAAAAGATTCTTGGATGAAAAGCGAAACGTCTTCAGTCGCTTTTTGAACTGAATGACCTGGATGACCGAGCATCAACATGGATGTTTTAGAATCATGTATCAGTGAACAATCTAGTCTCCTTCATTAACTGGAATCCTTCACCCTCGTGCCTTCCATCCAGCAATTAAAAACCATCAGGGGTGTAAAACAATTAAAAACCATCAGGGGTGCCACCCCTGATCCATGTAATAAAATTAACGCTTAATTTTCTAAACTTCCCTTTCCTTTTTGTATTTCTGCATCTAGGTTAAGAAAAAACTTTTTTTAAAATTTCAGTAAAAAAAAGATGACACGATCAATCTCAATTTCTTATTATAAATACGTTTTTAAAATGTTGATCCTCTCGGTAAATAAACTTATATTGTTATTTCTTTTTGTGGGCTCTGTCGCTTAGAAAAATCAGGATAAAAACCTCTATTAATGTATATTTGGTGGGCCTTGACCATTCTTGTAGACTTTTTTCTTGTCCTCACTTGAGGGCGATGTTGCTCTTTAGAAGGATAGTGGAGGATAGCAAAACTCTTTCAAAGTTTGACCAAAACAAAGATTAGTTTTGACTGGGCTATTTTATATTTTAATTGCTGGTGCTAAAGTTCAGAAGTGGAAAGGTATAGGAACTAATCTCCACTAATAATTGAATTCAACTTTATTGGCAAACATGCCTGGCAGGATGAAACACAGTGTGAGTTAATAGCAGCCCCGTATTTTTAACTGAAGGCTAAGATGGATGTAGTTATCAAAGCACAAACCTTTGTATCTAAAACTTTCTTGTACGTCCTTGAAATCTCATGTAGGGAGTTCTGTATGTATGCTGCAGTCTAACTGTGTGGTACTTCTAGAATTCTTTGTTGCTTTCCGAAACAGAATAACAGAGTTTGGAAGGGACCTTGGAGATCATCTAGTCCAACCCACTGCTCAAGCACGAGGCCCTATACCATTTCAGTCAAATGGTTGTCCATTCTCTTCTTAAAAGCTTCTAATGATGAAGCAGCCACAATTTCTGGAGGCAAGCTGCTCCACTGATTAATTGTTGTAACTACCAAGAAATTTCTTCACAGTTCTTAGTTGGTTTTCTCCTTGATTAGTCTCTATACATTGCTTCTTGTTCTGCCTTTAGGTTGACCCCCTCCTCCATGTAGAAGCCCCTTCAAATATTGGAACACTGCTATCATGTCATCACTAGACTAAAAAGGTTTTCCAAATTCAGGGATTCCTCATTTTATTGCCTGCCTCATTTAGCAATCCCAATTACAATGGCGATGTAAAAATAACTTTACGACCAGTTATCTCATTTATGACCATGGTAGGCTTGTAAAGTAAAGGAAAACTGAAGTAACAGTTATGATTTCTCTTAGTGACCATTTTGCTGGTCCTAATTGTCACCAAACAAGGATTACCTGTAGACTCACATTTTGAAAGGCTGGAAAGAAAAATAAATAGACTTCTTGCACTATATGTCTACTTCTTCACTAAGCCTTTTTTTGCCTCTGAGATATAGCATAATTGAAAACCTGCGTGCAACTGTATTAATGTTTGACCTTCCATTTCTGCATGAATTCATTTTTGTGTAAAAAAAAAGTGTGGACTAAAGTCAAAAATGGAAACTTAACTGTCCAGTTAAACAACATTTTGTTTTCAGTTTTTTAAATTTAATTCTTCTTATTCCTGAGTAAGTTTGACAGAAAATATTTAAAAATCAAGGAAAAATTTGAGGTTGGGGTGGAATGGGTAAAAAGATTTATCCAACTCAGCTTCTGAGTTTCCCATCTTTAAATCTGATTAAAAGTTACATGGCTAGGAAAAAAAAATGAAGGCAGAACTTAGAATGGAGAGATAAAAATTTGAGCTACTGTCCAGTGTCCCTATAATAGAAATCTTCAGCCCTGCTTCGATCCAGCCCATTTTGAAACTCAGAATTTCTTTGGCTGTTATTTTCCTCCATACTAAATTCGGTTCAGTTTTCAGAAAATAATTGTGCTTTTGAATAAATAAATGAAACCCTGAGACCCTTAACACAATTTCTTCCCAATATTTTTCAGAGTTGGACAGAAGGAAAAGAAAAATCAGAAAAATAAAAAAGAAGCACAATGTGTCAAGCTTAGCCCAAGAAAGACAAAGAAAATTCAGCTGAAGTTCAGTCTTTTATTTGCTTACATCCAATAGACAGAATCTTGCCATACTAAACGTTTACTGCTCTCCCCCTAACGGATACATCCTGAGGAGATTCTACAAACTGGCTGTCCTAACTCTCTTCCTCTGCCTCCTATCCAGTTTTAGGTTGTGTTGCCTAATGTCTCATACTCCCTTTCTGGACTGTGCTCCTTATTTCCTGAGAAATTGTCGCTTCATGTAGTCTATCACACAATGTTTCTGCCTTTGCCCTCTTGAATAGTTGCTCAAATCTGTAACTAGTTGGAAGTTTCTTTTGCAGGGGGTTTGAACTGCATGTAGTTTGATTTTGCTTTGTTTTGAAGTTGTATGAATTGTGCAGCTGCTATTGTGAGCAGCTGCGCAAATACAGTGGTGCCATTGTATGGTTGTATCTGCTTTTGAAGAAATCAGGAAGAGAAAGTAGGCCATTCAGAAGTGATTTTTTAGATTCAGTTTCCTCTCTCAACCCTTTCTGTGGTGCCTCGTGGTTAGGGGAAAGATTTTGCTGTTGTTGTTTGTTGTTGAGTTGATTCCTGAAATGGAAACAATCAGTGATGGTACATGAAGTGCAAAACTAGGCGGTATGCAGCATTTGCGTTAAATTCTACTTTAGGCTTGTCAGAAGCCAGACACATGCTGCAAAGAGAAAAATGAATCGGGATACAGTCATTGGAACCAAAGTGGCAGATGTGATCACGTTTTTTGGATTAAAGGGGATCTGTGTAAATTGGTATTGGAGGTGAGATTATTAAAACTGGAAGTGAAGCTGAATTAGAAGTCTCGTTTCCTTTCCACATTGTTCTTCCCCAGTTGTGGTTGGCAGATCATTAAAAGTAGGGCGCAGGTAATATAAAACAAGAACTTTAGGAATAATAAATTTGATTATGACAGAAACAAAAATCTAAAACTGAGTAAAGTTTATGCTAAGTTGGTTTCTTGAGTTTCCCGGGTCCTTCCAGAGATTGATGAAAAAAACCTATGAAATGTCGTAGCTTCTGGCTGGATCACATTGTAGGGAATGTCTTCCTGAGCATCGTAAGGCGATTATCTTGCTACCTAGACGCTGCACGTGTGATACACTTCTCTGAAAGGGGAGATTTTCATCAAGAACTGGGATGGTGCTTAGGCAAATAGCCCTGAATTATTTCCGTACCTTGAAAGTTTCTCCAGAACAAATGCTAGGCAGCGTTTGTTCTTTATATGAGAAAGGAGTTTCGAAAGGACCAAGTTTGGCAAAACCATGCCGTTCAGGGTAAAATATTTTAAGAAATATTCTCTTGCCTTTAACATTGGTGGCATTTGGCTCCTGAAGCAACATTTTTAAAATTATAAGCAGTCCTCGAGTTACAGCAGTTATTTAGTGCCCTTTCAAAGTTATAACAGTACTGAAAAAAGTGAGAGTTTTTCACACTTACGACTGTTTGCCGCATCCCCATGGGCATGTGATCAAAATTCAGATGCCTGACAACTGACTTGAATTTATGACGGTTGCAATGTTCCTTGGGCCATGGAATCACCTTTTGCGGCCTTCTGACAAGCAATCGATGGGGAAGCCAGATTTGCTTAACAACCAAATTGTTAACAATGGTGGTAAGAAAGATTATAAAGAAAGGAGCAAAGTTCACTTAATAACTGTCTTGCTCAGCAACATAAATTTTGGGCTCAGTTGTGGTTGAGGTTCCTGTATTTTAGTAACTTTAAACTCCTATTAGGTAGAATGCTAACTTTGTGAATGAAATGTCAGCGTTCCAGAAACCCTCCATACCATCCAATAACTCCGAGACAGACACCTCTCAAAGGTTCCTTTATTTGGATAGTAACTGGCACATCTGTGGAATCCCGAATCTGAA